TGAAAAGGACTCTCTTGTGATCAGAGCCAGAAGTTTTAGAAGCAGCAGGGAGGATAGAAAGTTAACGGAGGTTTCCAAAGGAGTAAAGTTTTACTTTCCTCCTCAACACCTAAGCAGTCCAACCCTTCTTTTATAGTGAGCTCTTAAGACTTCTGGAAAATGCTGTCTATGTGTTGCATTTTTTTTTCCCCATAATGATATGGATGTAGCTGTTTACATTTAACCACTCCTTTGCCTGTCTTCTTGAGAACTGACTTGCAGTGAACATGAGCATGTCAGAGTGGCTGCTGCTTGAAACAGGACTAGGAAAGAGATAGAGGCAAACTTGTCATGTTTCACCTTAGCCACCAGAAATATAAATTATTTTTTCAAGGACATTTTTTTTTAATCTTAACATGTTGCTACAAATGACTGAGCACTGAGGTTGTGCAGATAATGGGGTTTTTTGTTTTGGCAACCAACCAGGAAAATGTTAAAAGGATGAAAGCTGAGATGTTGTTTTGGATGAAACAGATTTTTTCAAGGATTTTTCTTTTTTCTTTCCAAAACAAAAATTAGAATATGTTGTTCTATTAGTGAACAAAATATTCCATTTGAGTACGAGAAAATATTTTGTTTTGGAGGCTTTATAAGAAAAATACTGAAAACTGTGTCTAGTTTGTATAATAACTATTGGTGGTCATGTTCCTCTTGGTAGGTATACTCCTTCTTGGTATGTATACTCTCTCTGGCCATGGAAGAATATTTCTCTCCTTTGCGTGATGGGAGGTTTAAAGCTGTATCTCCTTCCCCCAGAAGTGAGTCAAAAACACTAGCAAGGCTCTGTGGAGTGCCAGGGCATGACCACTGGCACTGGGAAGACTGTACAGCCATGCATTCCATTTCAGGACCAAGGGCTCAGCTGGTCCCGTCACAAGCCCCATTTGCATCCACGCTTGACATTTACTGTGTGTTAAAGTCAACCGTGCTGTTAGCTAGCTACCATGTCTAAGGTGGGTGGCACTGAAATGCACCAGCATGCTGTCCTTGAACTCATTTTCACCCCTAAGCCTTTAGAAAAGAGCCTCGAGGCATTTCCTTTGCTTCCACCTAGTGAGAGTGAGAGTTTCAGTACTGAGGAGGGAGTACTGGCATGTTTCCTTCAATCATTAGCTTAATCTGCCCTCAACCTCCAGGACTTATTCTGCAGTAAGTAATTTGTCATGGAACAGTTCAGAGCATTAAACTTTAGGATGTGGATTGCTTCTGTAATATATGTCAGGATGTGCTTAATGCTTCATTTTGCATGTAGTGATGGCATATTGCTTGCTGGCAGAGAGGCTAGTAATCAGATCTCACCCTGCCTCGAAAGATATTCCATTTCCTGAGTTGGAGAGTGTTATTTTCCTATTTACTTTGATTTGTTGTTAAGAACTATATACAAAGTGAAGGAAGGGTGCTTCTAAACATCTCACAGGCCATGGTCAGGGACCTCATTAAAACAGGAGAGTTTGATTTAAAACCTGCCCTGAACTAGGCAGACAGTGGGTTTTCCCTCTTGGCTTACGTTTCTTAGAGAAATGTTAATGTTTCTTGTTTCAGTATGGCTGTGGTAATCAATATAATTTTTCTTGGATTTGTTATTGATACTGATTGTTACTTCTCATCCAAAATTTTATACAATTGCTATACTTATTTAGAACACAGAAATGCATTTAGTGAAGGTGATATGTACGCTTTTAGCCTTGGAGAACACAGTGCATGCGTGTTGGTTCTTGACATCACAAATTGAGGACTGAAGAACTGGATCCTGCCCCCCTACCCCCACCTCAGATTCACTGTTTATCGTAGAAGGTGGCAAATCTAAAACAGATAACCACACTGAAAAACTGTACTACTTATCCATAATACCAGCATTATCCACAATCTCTTTATTTCTCCAGTTTCTTCATGTCAGCTTTATATCAAACTCTAAATGTTTAAAATAAAGTAACAAAAATATTTCACATGACGCAGATGAAGAGAACTTAAAAGAACACCCCAGGCATGTATTTGTCCCGTGCCATTCACAGAATTTGTCCAGACAGCAGTTCTTTGTGCAGAATGATGCATATGGCTTTGGATGTTTATGGAGTTTGGTCATTAGGCAGCAAACCTATTCAGCACGTTTTGCACTTTTATAAACCTTCTCAAGTCTCCAGAAAGGCACCGCTTCCAATTACAGGCATAGGTATGTAAGGATTTTTTTTTTTATGCTAACTGTAAAGATGGATTTATGGTGTAGTTGTTATTTTATATAGAGTCCATAATAGATATTTCTGTTTATCTTGGATTGTTTTTTTTTTTTTAACATCTGATACTTTTAGAAGACCAAAGAGGATAATGTAGCATTGAGGTAAAGGTTACATGCTGTCTTCAGACACAGTTAATTGCTGAGTTCATACTACCTGATTTGAAGTTTTACTCCTGAGAGACTTAGAAAATAGCTGTTTTCCAGTGAAAAGCATGTGCATGTTTTTACCTATCTTTATTTGTATAAATACACACAACTTTTCTTTAATATTTCAGAGCAGAGTAGATGCCCTGAAAACTTTTTTCACATCCTATGTTCAGTGCTTTCCCACGGTTTCTATCAGCCAGGCTGTTTACCCAATCTGACACTGGAGAGTCATCTGAAAAATGAGAGCATAATTTAGATACAAAAAGCATTTAATGCTTGCTATTTGGCCATTCTTCTTTTGAATCATGTTCTACATTGTTTGGTGTACATTGCTTGGTTCCAGTGAAATTCAGTTAATGGAAGTGCACTGATTTATATCAGCTGAAGAGTTACTGCTTCAAGAGAGCTTCGTTTTAAGAAGAGATGTTAACTGGTTTTGTAAGTTTAGAAATTAGTGTCTTTAAATCATCAGCTTTAATTTTCTCTGTTACTTGTGTGCCGCTCCTCTGTTAAATTCTATACAAGACTTACTATGCAGAATTGCATTTTGAAGTTTACACTTCCTGTGTAGAAGAGTGCTTTCTACACAGTAGAATTTGATGCAGTATTATACTCAAAGCCAAACATAAAGTTAGCATACATCTTAACAATGAAAATTGCAATAAATCAGTTCCACTGTGAAATCCTGTTTAAGGTTAAGTCAGGTAAAGATCATTATTAGCTTTAAGTACATTTTGATAAGCAATTTGTGGATTGTTATAAGGATACTGAACTTTAAGTGTTTTAAGTTAACTCAGCTGCTTTCATTGTTCTTTTTTCCCTCCTAATGTGTAGCTTAACCTCAATTACTTCATAATTGTACTTCCTGTACCCATTTGTATTCTATTCTGATTTCTGAATGTGCAAAGGTTTAGTGAAAAGGAAAACAAAAAATACTTTGGAAATTAGGATTCATGATAGAGCTGGTCAAAGGTGTGTTCATGTGTCAAAGGACTTGGTGACAGCAATCATGGTGCCAGCATGCTGCATATAACTAGCATGTATTTAATTTAAGCTTTGTGAGATAAAGATTTCATTTTTAAAAAGGAAAAATGAATGTGTAACTTCACTCAGCAGAAGGTGAGATTGAAATTAAGAGAAGGTAAACACAAAACTGTTGGAAATCCAGTTAATCAAAAAGCCTACAGAGCCATTCTTTACATACAGGTATGAAAATGCCAAGTTCATCTGAGCTATTCCAATGATGTTAGATACACTGAAGTAAAAATCAGAGGTTGTTTTTCTCACTTTCACGTGCTGTGTTTTGCCATAGTTGCAGTGCCCTAGGCTGATGGCCATACTTGGTGTGGTTCATTCATGCATTTTGAAAGCACATAAATGCTCCTAGAGCAGAATGAAGATTTTTTTTTTTTTTAAATCTTGATCTTTTTGTATTTTTTCTCATCTGTTTGTTCACATTACTGCTTACATGAATTAAGATGAAATCATATTTATAGAGTCATAGAATAGTTGAAGTTGTAAGGTGCACATCGTAAAGAGCACAACACAATTTCCACTGATTGCAGTAGGACACTCTTGTCTCAACAATTTAAAATTCTGTAATTTCGGCAATAAAAAATATATTGCAAAGAAAGTGAAAGAGAACAACTATGAAAGGCATTGTTCAGTTTATGAAAGATTTTTTTTTTACTATGTATTCTTTCACATTTCCTTTTCTGTTGAAGTGTGGCATGAAAATACTGTCAGTATCACAAAACTAAAGTCTTTGATACATAATATATGCTTGATTTTGGAGAAAATATGCTTGATTTAAGAGAGATATTTAATCTACACTACCCCCACCTCCATTTTTAATTTTATTGATACATATCTACTGTTTCGCTAAGTTCAGTGTAATCAATGGGTATTAGCAGTTAGTTATTACAAAATAATTTTGAGTAGTGGCATCATTTTAGCTCTATTTTATGTTAAATGCTGGTGGGTTTTTATGCTATTAATTATGTTAATTTGAACTGTAGTCATGAAAGTAAATTTCATAATCTGTACTTCTATACCTGAATACATTTGTGAAATTAAGAAACAGCATGAAGAGTTATTTTATTATGTTTGCTTTAAAGGCACCTTCAGTCCCGTAGCCACCGTTCAGGAATGTATCAACATTTGGCTCCTTTGGAAAAGATAAAGGCTGTTGGAGATTTCTGGAGGAGTGTGAACTAGGGAATATTGCTTTCTCACAAAAATTGTGTGGATCTTGTTTCTGATAACTAGATTTCATTTTTGTACAATTAATATTCTGCACATATGTTTCACCTAGCAAAGCCCAATATGTTGCAAGCACTGTTTTAATATTTAACAACTTAATCTTTCTAACAAAATTAATGAGCTTTGAAAGTTAATGTTATGCATACTTAGGAAAGAAAAAAATGGCCTAAGAGACTCGGTAAGTAGAGTACTACCAAGTTAAAATTTAGCATGAATTGCCTAACTTCAGAGACACCAGATCATACACACCTCCCAGTACAGGAGTGGAGAAAAATAAGTAAATGAAACTCAACTAATTGGCATCTTTCTTTATTGCCAGGCTGGTGAAGGATGCCCCATGGGATGAGGTCCCACTCGCCCACTCCTTAGTTGGCTTTGCTACGGCGTATGACTTCTTGTACAGCTATCTTAGCAAGACTCAGCAGGAGAGATTTCTTGAGGTAATTGCCAATGCCTCAGGATATATGTACGAAACATCATACAGACGTGGATGGGGCTTCCAGTACCTCCACAACCACCAGCCTACCAACTGTGTGGCCCTGCTGGCTGGGAGCCTGGTTCTGATGAATCAAGGTATGTGCGAAATCATAGGAATGTCTTTCTGAACTGTATCAACTCAGACATTTATGCAGCAAACTCCAGGAACACATAAAAATGCTCCTGAGCATACAGTAGTATTGGGTTTGCTCTTTTGCTGCTTAGAAATAGTTAATTTACTGAATTGAACAAAATCTGAGGGCAGATGTACAAGCTACAGTATGTGTGCGCATTTATATATATATATATACACGTGTATATAAGTTCAGTTATCTAAGTGATTATGAAATTCTTACCTCATTGTTTGTAGGAATTAAAAATCCCTTTGTTTATAGTCTGTCCAGTCCAGATTTACAGAAAGGGTCTTTCAGGGTAGGTGATCAGTAAAGAGTGATTCACTTGTCTCCTTACCCAACATACTGGGAAGGTCAGCAGCTGGAAAACAGCTCGCACTCTGAGCTAGCAGATAGGCAACAGGATAACCTGGAATTTCACCCAAGACTTCTGTCCTGTCTTCCTGAGAGACCTGCAGAGGTGTAACTTTATTCATCCAAAGGCCACAGCTCAGGACCTTTCTTTCCAGCGTCCTTTTCTGTGAAGATGAGCAGGACTTAGTCCCCTTTTTCCCTCTGAACTATGCCCTTGAACTCCCCAGCCTTCATCCAAGAAGTGTCTGTGCCAGGTGTCACTTCCTTCTTTGCTTCAGGGACTCAGACCCATCCTTTCCAGTTCCCAGGTAAGGAACCTCACCAGCTGCTTTTGGCTGCTCTGCCTGGGGGCTGTGCCTCTCGTGTGTAAGTGATATACCGTGTAAACTAGAATGAAGTCATGACGTCAGAGGGAGAGAGCAGATAAGAAATCCTGACTTCAGACCCCAGCGGCACTTTGGCTGAGAGGTAGAAGTCATGAACCCAGTGCCAGCCTATATAAGAATCTGCCAGTATTTTATCAAGTGATTATTTAATGTGTGTTAGAAGTAGTTTGAAAACATGATGCCAAATAGAACTACCTACTTGCTGCAAGTCGAGGAAGATCTGGTTTCTAGATGCAGATGGCGTTGCCAAGCTGTTCAGCCCTGCCAAGCAAAGGCAGATCTGCACATTGCTGGAGCTTTCAAAGAAGTGTGAAAAAAAAATGTGACACCTACAGTGTTTGGGGGCTCATCTTTTTGTTAAGTTTTTGTCATAGCAACCACATTCCCTAACGTGCATACGCTGAAGAGCAGCACGAGTATGTGTGGAACTTACTCCCTTTCTTCCTCTCTTGCCTTCCAGAAACTGATGACTCAGACCTTTTATTTATTCAGTGGGTTTTGCTAAATTCCTCATAATTCCATCCTTTCCTGAGCCTCCGTTGGTGCAGAAAGCTGGCAGTCTGCAAGATGACTCTGCTTCTCATTAGAGTATAGACCATAAGCAGTGCTTTGTGCCAAACAATGGTAACATCACAAAGTTGAGCAGTATGTCTTTCACCAAAGGTTGGTGGAATTTTTTGGGGGAAGAAAAAAAAAAAGCAAATTCAGCAACACTTGAGCAAGTTGAAAATAGTGGTGATATTTCAAACGAAAACAGGTCAAAACAGACTCTATATTTCTTAATGAAAATTCAGATATTTTCAATGTAGCGCAACTTTTTAAATGAAAATTTAAATAAAGTTTTGCTGTTGGTCTACAATAAATAAAAAAAATAATATTATAAGTTTTCATTCCAAGGTCAGAGACTTTTTCTGAAGGAGTTAAAAAAAAGGGAGGGAGAAAGGGAATGGATATAACTATTTTTCCTGTATCAGGTCCAGTGTAGACTTTTGTCCCCAAAGGTTTAAATTCCAACTAATAATTGTAAACACAGTTCAACTATTAAAGCATGCAGAGACTAAATAGCCAATTTAAAAACATGTAAACATTGTCATAGACCTGATAAATGAAACTAATTGAAATGAATTTTAGGCACACACGTACACTGAAGTCTTTAAAGTAAACACTTAGATATTCAGAAAAGAAACTTAAGTAAGGCCTAACTTGATAGAGGTACTGCGAATTTTGGCTGAGATTTATTCTAGTTTGTTGTGTAGCCTGACAGAATGTTGAGTCTTATTTTCATTCTAATGTGTTGTTATTCTTTTAATATACTACAAGGTTATAGCACAGATATACACTAAGTAAACAGAACATGTCTGCATTACAGTGGTAAATGCTCTGTGCTGAACCATGGAAAATACCTTTCTTGCTAGTGCAGTAGTCAAAAGCTGCTGTGTGGCTGTTGTGTCACAAGGGAAAACAAGAGTGGAAATGTTTGGGATTTTATCTGGAGAGACCACAGTGCTGCCTACTCCATCAGAGTAATGAAGTGGTGGCAGGGTAGCTGTGAACCTGACCCTGGCACTCAGGCTTTCCCCATCGTAGCTCTCTCTTCAGCCAGCAGATAAAAGCACCGCATTAAATTCAGTTTGCCTGTTTAACTTAGACATTGCAGTATTTTTTCTCTTAACTGAGCAAGATTTGGCAGCCTTTACTAGTAGGATGTCTGAATTGCTCATTGCTCTACTGAGCATAAATACAGTGTCCATGGCAATGAAATGCAACAGTCTTAGAGGCTTGAATGAAGCTCATACACCCTGAGCCTGGCACGTGCCCTTCATTCAGCAGGCACCACTTCACCACCCAGTGGGGCGCAATGTGTGCCAGCTGAGCTCTGCTACAGGGCAGGAATAAGTCTGGTTAAGTCTGTGCCAAGACACTTTAGAGTTGGGTAGACACTGAGTTGCCATATAGGAGTACAAGGCAGTTGGTTTCTCTTTAGTCCTACCTCTCTTGCCAGTGAATCCAAAAGAAAGTAGGAGGAGGCAGGTTGCCTTTCCTCTGCTGGGATTCACGTGCTGACTTTGTCAATATGTAAATGCAGTGCTGAGGCTCTCATGCTTGTGTTTGTTCCTTAGTGAAGGCTTACAGACCCTGAGAAGTCTTTTCATAACCTCTTCCCAGTTCTTGATTTGTTCAGAGCAGACCAAAATAGTAAGATCCCTGAAAGTCTTTGCTTTAGAAGAAATACAACTGTTTAGGGCTTATATATGTGAAGGCTGAAACTTACCCTAGTTGGAAGATTAATTTTATTCTGAAACTGAGGAGCCTGCATTTAGAATGAACCATGTAAAACTTTTCCAAAACAACTTCTATTTGGATAGCTCTTCAGGTTGTACACTAAAATGAAAATGTAAGTATAATGGAACATCTCTTAAAATAGAGCATATATTAGTGGAGTATTAGTTAACTGCAGCTCAAATGTAAACTGTTTCCTATTTTTAAACTCTTGAGAATCTTCTTAGCTGCTGATGACGCCAGTGAAAAATGACTGATTAGAATATTTGCATTATTGGAGCCCTCTAGTGGGGACCATAAGCCTGTTGTCATACAACTTTAATTTAAAATACAATAAATAGTTTTGGTGTGGCTCTTCCCATTTCATGTCCTGAATGCATTAGGGAAATTTTCCTTTTAAGATGGAAAGCATAATCACACCTTATTAGCAAAAGGTGTTTGATAGATTTTCCCTGCTCATGTGAACTTGCTTTGTTGTGTTTAAATACAGTGGTTTATTTTTCACCCTAGGTCTACAGGGACCCTGCGGCACGAAATTAAAGTATCGAGCTCTGGGCTGCAGGTTCCTCACTGTAAAAGAATCCCACCATGGGAGTAGAGGTGACATCATCTATGGTCTATGGTGTTGTAATCAGATTTGTCCACTTCTTTTTTCTTTCAGGCTATCTTCAGGAAGCTTACCTGTGGACCAAGCAAGTCTTGGCAATCATGGAGAAGTCAGTAGTCCTGCTGCAGGAAGTCACGGATGGCTCGCTCTATGAAGGTGTGGCCTATGGCAGCTACACAACCAGATCCCTGTTTCAGTACATGTTTCTTGTCCAAAGGCACTTTGACATCAATCACTTCAGCCACCCCTGGCTCAAGCAGCATTTTGCATTTATGTACAGGACTGTCCTGCCAGGTAGGTTGTTGGGGTGAATGAAGATGAACCTTCTAATTCCTGAAGGAGCAGTAAATCTCATACTTCAAGTAGGCCATTTTTAAATAACAGTGTATTGGATTTCTTTTAAATAACCTTTTCCCTGGATTTTGACCTTCATCATCCATTGAAAAACTTAGATCCTTGTTTGTCACTGCTTATTAAAGATCAATATTTATTAAACTCTGGCTTCTAAAACCACTCAAAAGATAGGAACACTATGTGGGAGAAAATGCAATGGTTCAGAATTTTATTTCTGGTTTTCAGAGTTTGAAACAGATCTGTTTCTGGGGTTTTCCATTTGAAAAACAATATATTTGAGATTCTGACTGATTTTTTCCTTTGCCAAAAATCTCCACACTAATATACTAGGTGAAAGGAATAGAAAATGATGAAACAGAGTAAAAGTATCAAAGGATAGGAAAGTTTTATATGATCACCAGTTTTCCACAAATGATTGAAATAGATCTTTATACTATTTTATTAATATATCTTTCATATGGAAAACATAAGTGACATAAATGATAGGTTTCTCTGTGCAGGAGTACATGAACCATTTTTCAGTGTGACTGTTAAACAGAAATATCTGATGTCACTAATGGGTCAATTTTGCAGACTTTTTCATATTTATGTTCTTTTACTGGATCTCTCTGGTCTCTCAGAGTGTGTTTTAGCATCTCTAATTCGAAGTCCTAGTTTTGACTGAGAGATGGAGGTGTACAAATACAAAAGCAGTTATAAGTTAGTAAATATTGCTGATCCCTTCCAGCTTTCAGAATATATTTAGTTTCAGGCAGCTTTGCAAGGGTGCAGTGATGGTTTAGTTGCAGGACAATTAATTAGGAACTTGCATTGTTCAAATTCCTGGTTGAAGAGACCATGATAACTTTATTGGCTGTAAGAGCCCCAGATGCAGCAGTGTATGTGAGGGGGGCTGAGCACAGCTTTGTCATGCCAGCAGAGGCACATAAGGAATTGTGCTGACTCCATGTGAGACTTTGGGCATCTGCTGGGAAGAGAGGTTCCTAAAAGCAAAGTGAACTCGTGCTAGCTGTTTGAGGGTGAAGCCAATTTTTTTCTTCTCCTTGGGAGAACCTCTGTTTTCTTGCTTTAGCAAGTTTGGATTTTCAGAGGAAAAGTGAAAGCTTTAAAGAGAAAGTTGCCCCTTTGCCAGATTTGAGTGAGGAGGGGAAGTGGATGGGACATTGCTGCTTACATTTTTTGTAGTGCTTTGGCTGTCCTCAGTCCATAGCTAAAGAAGAAATGTGACTATTCAAAGTTAGCTACAGCCGAAGGAAGCAGCTCCTGCATAACCTGTTTATGGCTCATTTACAGGTAGGTCTCTACACATCTGAAAAGGCTGTTCCTGTGTGTGTCTGGACTGCTCGGCTTCACCCTCACGCTCTACAAATGCATCTTTGTACGTTTATTTGTTCTTTCTTACGTGGCTTTTCACTTTTCCCCAAGGGTTTCAGAGGACCGTGGCCATCGCGGACTCCAACTACAACTGGTTCTACGGGCCCGAGAGCCAGCTGGTGTTCCTCGACAAATTCGTCATGCGCAACGGCAGCGGGAACTGGTTGGCAGAGCAGATCAGAAGGAACCGCGTGGTGGAAGGCCCGGGGACACCCTCCAAAGGGCAGAGGTGGTGCACTCTCCACACTGAATTTCTCTGGTATGGAAGGGAATGAGCGGGCTCAAAAGGAACCTGACGGCTGTTTGCTATTCCTGATAATTCGTTATCTTTAGATTTGTATTGTAGAAGCAGAGATCAGGTTGGCCGTGGGCAACCCAGAGAGTCATTAGGCTCACAGAGTTTCTTCACTTGGCCATGGATGTGTTGCTACAGGGAAGGAACACCTTGGTCTTGTCCTACATCTGCTTTTGTGGTTTTCTTTCACTGTCTATTGCCTTTATAGAACACAAGCAGTTCCAAAAGGACTGAAGATATGCCTGCATCTATTCTTTGGTTTATTTTGTTCATTTTAATTGTTCCTAATTCTGTTGTTTTCTTTAATAACTAATTAGCTGAATATTGAGAGCATAGTTTTCTTTTTAAAGCTATGAGTAATAATATAAGCTTTCTTTCAAGAGCTCAAGTAATATAGGCAGTAAGGCCTACATAACTACTGTTAGTTGTTTTAACATGCTAATTTGCAAATTATGCTTAGAAAAAATATGATAGGTAAATAGATCTATTTTCAGTATAATTTACAGCTCTGCCATCTTTTATGTCAGTCTTCTAAATATAAATGAAAAGACTCAGGAGATATAAATTCCCTCAGTCTGTAGAGAGGAAAAAGTACATTTTCAAGGAGTCAGTGTAGTTCTATTTTTCTCAATTAAAGAAAAATATTATTGAATACATATTGTTTTGCATTTACAGTATGCATTAGAATGCACGTTTATTAGGCTCCAAGCACCTTTTGTCTTGTTATTTGCAAAATACAGAATCTTGCGTCTACAAGCCCATTCCTGCATCTCCATGGAAACCCTGGAAATTTATACTTAGAAAATTCTTTTGGATGTCAAAGGGAACAGAATTTTTTAAGAGTGTTTGAGTAAAAAAAGAAAAAATCTGAATATCCCAACAATTAACTTTTCTCTGTGCTGCAGTGTTGCTCTTGTGGTGAGCATGTCCAATTGCATTCGAGTCTCAGGAAGGAGGTTTGCTTTTAGGGGAATCTTCATCAAGGATCACTAGACACAGAGCAGGCTCTCAGTGCTGGTTGGAATTGCCAGAAGGTTAGGCTTTGTTTTCCATGGTTGTTGGGGTTTGTTTTGTAGTTTGTGACCATCTCTGGAATTAAGACCATTTCTTAAACCAAATGTGACATAACTTAAATTTCTATAAGAAAGCCATGAAAATCTTTCTTCAGCCCTTTTGGAGAAGGAAACTAAAGTAGACCAAGTGCTACAAATCATAAAAATTAATTCTTTAAAATGCCTTTTAGTTGATTTTTATTTTATTGCTAATTCTGTAATCATTATTTTGGGGAAACAGATACTCTGCTTCCCTTGGTTAAGTAAGTAGGTGAAAATGTTGATGTCTAGTGCAAAATAGATATTGCCAACAGCCTGATCCTAGTGTGCCTTTTTTAAAGACCTGTATTGCAGTCAGTAGCTTTGTGATATAAGACAAAATGTGTCTAGTTTGGAATTAGTGGTGCTGTTAGTTTTGGATGATGGAGGATTGCTTGCCTGAAATGTGGAGCGGATGCTTTCAGCTGTTACTCTGTAAAAAGCACACAACAGATTTGTGCAGGGATTAGTATCTTAGAATCATAGAATGGTTTGGGTTGGAAGGCATCCTAAAGGTCCTCTAATTCCAACCCTTCTGCCATGGGCAGGGGCACCTCCCACTAGAGCAGGTTGCTCAAAGCCCGGTTAGTATGATAAATATCTTTAAGACTATATGATTAGTTCACTCAGGAAGCATACATGTGGGCTTTATGTTGTTAGCTTGCTCCTTGATGTAGATATTGAATCAGTTTTTGAGTTTCGAACAGGTGCTGGTAACAGAATCAGCCCAGTGATTTTTAAACCCCTTTTCCTCGTCTTTTTGGCAGGTATGATGCAAGTTTGCGCTCTGTACCTCCGCCAGACTACGGGGTTCCTAAGCTGCATTATTTTGAGGACTGGGGAGTGGTAACCTATGGAAGTGCTTTGCCAGCTGAGATCAACAGGCCTTTCCTTTCCTTCAAATCGGGAAAGCTGGGAGGACGTGCAATATACGATATTGTTCACAAGAACAAATACAAAGAGTGGATCAAGGGGTGGAGGAACTTTAATGCTGGCCATGAACACCCAGACCAGAACTCCTTTACTTTTGCTCCCAACGGCGTACCTTTCATAACAGAAGCTCTGTATGGGCCGAAATATACTTTTTTTAATAACGTGTTGATGTTTTCCCCTGCCGTGTCCAAGAGCTGCTTCTCCCCATGGGAAGGGCAGATTACAGAAGACTGTTCCTCAAAGTGGCTGAAATATAAACATGACTCGGCCGGTGACTGTCAAGGACGAGTGGTTGCTGCCATGGAGAGAAGCGGGGTGGTTTTTATCAGGGGAGAAGGAGTGGGTGCATACAATCCTAAGCTGAAGCTGAGGAAACTGCAAAGGAACCTCATACTCCTCCATCCCCAGCTTCTCTTGCTCGTGGATCAAATCCATCTGGAAGATGACAGCCCCCTGGAGGCAGCGACCAGTTTCTTCCACAATGTGGATGTGCCTTTTGAAGAAACAGTCGTCGATGACGTTCATGGGGCCTTTATTAGGCACCGTGATGGGATATATAAGATGTACTGGATGGATGACACTGGCCACAGCGAGAAAGCCACCATCGCCTCAAGGATGTATCCCCGGGGCTACCCGTACAATGGGACGAACTACGTGAACGTCACGACCCCTCTGCGGCGCCCCGTCACGAGGGCCATTTACCTCTTCATCGGGCCCTCCGTCGACGTGCAGAGCTTCACCGTCCGCGGAGATTCCCCACAGCTGGATGTTTTCGTTGCCACCGGCGAGCACGCCTACGCGGTGTACCTGTGGCCTGTGGAGGATGGGTCTCGCTCCGCCTTCGCCCAGGTCGTTGTGGACCAGCAGAAGATCGTCTTTGACCGAGCCTCTGCCGTCAGGAGCTCCGTGGTGCCAGAGGTGAAGGACTACGTGGGGATCGTGGAGAGGAACCTGCAGCATTTTAAGCCTGTTTTCCAGCAGCTGGAGAAGCAGATCTTGTCTCGCGTACGCAACACGGCTAGCTTCAGGAAGACTGCTGAGCGCCTGCTGAGGTTTTCGGATAAGAGGCAGACGGAGGAGGCCATTGACAGGATATTTGCAATCTCACAGAGGCAGCAGCAGCAGCACGGCAGAGCAAAGAAAAACAGAAAAGTAGCCAAAGGCTACAAATTTGTTGATGCCGTTCCCGACATCTTTGCACAAATTGAGGTAAATGAAAGAAAAGTGCGACAAAAGGCACAGACTCAAGCACAAAAAGAGTTGCCTGTAGATGAAGATGAGGAAATGAAAGATCTTCTGGATTTTGCAGATATCACTTACGTGAAGCACAAAACTGGGGTGTCAATCAAAGGCCGGTCAGGGCTGGCGCAGATGGTGACGACTGCTCGAAGTAGTGCCCCATCAATATCCGCTTCTTATACCCGCCTCTTTCTGATTCTCAACATTGCTATTTTTTTTGTCATGTTAGCAATGCAGCTCACATACTTTCAGAAGGCCAAGAGACTGCATGGCCAAAGATGTCTGTATGCAATACTTTTAGTAGACAGCTGTATATTATTGTGGCTGTATTCTTCCTGTTCTCAGTCACAATGTTAGCAGAAGACCTCTACTAGTCGACCAGTTTATGGTCATATGTGTCTATGCAAAAGCATTAACCCTAATAGGGCCAAAGTTTTTCTTTTTTTTCTGAAACATTCCAAAAACAGCTGGGGAAAGGTTGGTTTCAGACCAGAAGGGATGGAAGAACAGGGCAAGCAGTGAGTATCCCAGAAAACTAAGTACTTAGTAAGTACTCCTCCTTTGTGTTTTGAGTTGGGCCTCACATCTGAGGGAATGTCACGCTTTGTTCATCGGAGTTCAATAATGTAAAGTTGTAATTAATTTTTTGGTGGGAAGAGCCGTCTTTAATAGATTTTTTTTCTAAGGGCTTTTTTTTTTTTTTATACAGTGTTGGGTTTGCATTTTCCTTTCAGGCTGCTAGGGATGTCTCTGGACATTCTCTTAAGAAAAGGACATTCAAATACAAGTATGCAAGGCAGATCTTAGCAGTAGACTTCATTTCTGTCTACCAGACCAAAGAATGCTTCAGTATGGGACACCCCTGTATAATTACTGCAGACCTTTACACCATGTCAGTTCTTCCATGCTTTATAGTCTGGCATGGTGGGGAAAGGCAATCATCTCAGCACTTGCCAAGCGAGAGGTACAACACCTAGTAGGCGGTAGCAGAAGGCAAATACGGGGCTAACTCAAAGTATAAAGGAACACAATTCTCAGGAAAATAAAACCTTTAGCTTTCAGTCACGTGTAGACTGTAGAAGGATGAATGCTGTAGGGTCTGTTCTCAATTTTACAAGGCAGAGTTTCACAAACGTTTTCCATAGTTTGAAGCACGTCTCAGTAGGGAAACAATGTCCTAGATCACTGCTCTTCCATATGCAATTGTAAAAATACAAGCAAAAAACCAAAGTGATCCTGTGGTAACCTCAGCAATTGCCAGTATAGAAAAAGAGATATTAAGGAAGTATTTAATGTCTTTGTTCTGCTCACATGGCTAGAAACAGAGGACAGTTAAAATTGTGTGAACAGCCTGTTCTCTATAAAGCACCAGCAAGGGTTCTGCAAGCTCTTGGTGGCCTCAGGTCAATTATTTGGGGATTAGTGGTAAATGGAATTGTGTGTTTTATGACAAAAATGAGTTTGACGTCTCCACACATATCCCCTTCTGTTCATTAAACTGATTTCAAAAATCATAGCTGTTTGAGAGAATGCAAGCTCTATGGAATTGGGGCATATCTGTGTGTCCTTACAGAAAAACAATTCTTCCAGTACATTTGCTAAATAAAAACATTATAATTGTCTCTGTGGAAAAAGTTTTTTTCTTTGATTAAAATATTTTTCCCGGTAATTACAGCAATTACGTTCATCAGCACTTTGTTCAAACCGGAAACCTTTGTTTCCTCTTCCTTATACCCATTTAGGTATCTGCTATCTACACTGCTGCTGTTAAGCCTGCTGTGAGTCTACGTGTTGAAATGTGATGAGCTTTCCTTGTCTAAACATCTTCAGTGAACAGATGAGAACATTTTCACTAGGTTCCAGCCACTGAGACAGTTCTGAGCACTGTATTCACCTTACATAAGTGCTGCTACAGTCTCCAGTGTCTGGATTTATCCAATTAAATTTGGTACTTTTAGTCTGAGCAGAGGTTTAGGACCCCAGTCAATTTCTGATCCATGCATAGTCATGAAAAAGAGAAAGCATCTTCAGATAGCTGCTTGGTCCACCTAAGACCTTGAAACACCTTCAAGACACACCTTTTCCATAATTGCAAAAGGCACGAAGGGTGGTCAGTCACCTATTTCAGTTGCTTAAGCTGAAGGGAGCTGAGCCTGGGGAGTGTTGCCCAGTATGGTTCCGTGTTTGTGATGGCTGCTGAAGGTATCACTGGATTGTGACAGGCTGCCTGTCACTGTAAATCTCCTTATTTCTGCCTTTGCGCTGTGGGTTACGTTCAGCTTCAAAGATGCTGTTGGTTAGTTTTTCAGTATTAGGGGATTCTATTATTGCCCATGAAACATTGAAAAAACAAGATGCAGGCACATCCCTCCACAGGGAGACAGTGCCATAAGATTATCCCAGGGTAATTTAAGGAGTCATTGTGCCTTATAAGCAAATATGCAACCTGCATTTGTGTCTCTTTGTCCTCTTTGCAGACATATGAGCCTTCAGGAAAATAAAGATCTGTGGTAGCTTTTAGCCTTTATCAATACAAATATTTCTATTTCATGTCTGTGCATATGTACCCTGTCAATTTGCTATTGCTTTGAACAAGCAGCTATAGAAAGCCAACCTACAGTATAGAAGGCTTTTGAAAAATACCTGCATTTCTTGGTCCTCTTTGTGTTGTGGCATCTGAATTCTAACATGGGATTTGTGTAGCTTATCAAATGAGACTGCAGAATTACAGACTTACTTTCTGTAACACATGGTCGTGCACATTAGCTCGCATTTACACTACACTTCTATGCACCATTCTAGCAGTGCAGCAGGAAAGAGGTGGTTCCAAGAGCTGCCCATGCTCATAGCCAGGTCTTAAAGCACCTTTTAAAGCAGACCAGCATTCAAACGAGTGGTCTACATGTGATAATGAAGGGAGATTAAATGTACTGGTCTGTCCTCCTGAATGGGAGACCAGACCCATTTCAGCATAAAGCGGAAATCCAACGGTTTTCCAGCCTGTGTTGGGCTTGCTTCTGATCACTTTCAGTTAAAAAAATTATGAGTTACCTACATATGATTGTCATTCCTGGCCACTCTGAAATCCACTTACACAGGCATAACTTTGACTCACATAAGGTAGCTAAAGTTTGCTTCAACTAGTGATGAAGCCGAAATTCTGCTGAGTATATTTCAGATACAGAAAGAATCCTTTGTGATTTCTTACTCTTTTCCAAGCCTGAGCCTTAAAAAAGTTTTGTTTCCATTCTTCTTCCCTCTCTCATTCCTTATCAAAGAATCTTAATTTTTTAATAGAATTTGAAGCACGTGGAAGATCAGATGGTTGCATGCCATTAGCAACCAGTAACTCAGGCTGTTGGGTAGAAGTGTCTGTCACAATGAAGAAACAGTTCAAGCCCTCAGATGGAGCCTGCACTGAAAAATCTGAGCTGCCCATGCTTTACTAGGAATTGGGGTGAGGAAGAGCAGGTAACTGGGTTCAGTGCAGATCGCCCTGATGGCTGGTGGGAGGGCTGGGAAAGGTTGGTGTTCCTCAACCCTTGCTGCCACAACAGAGAATGCTGTCCTCACCGTTGTGTCCTTTGTCTGAAATGTAAGAGGGAGGCAGTCTCGGTGAGCCCCGTGCAGGTCCGTGGCAGAGGCACTCGGCTCTCGTTTCCTTTGGACTGGGTATACTGAACAACTTGGAAATGTCACCCAGTAGCAAAGTAACTTTTCACTCCCTGTTTTAAATGGAGGCACAACACTGAAGTGTCCCTGGCACATGCCTCTGCTCCTGTGCCTGTTCATTTTCTTTTTGACTTCTAAAAATGTTAATTTTCTGCATCTCTGGCCACAGGAAAAGGTGACTATTCTGCAGCTGGGTGTATGTGGACCATATTCATATACAGTTCCTGTATTCATCTGAGACCCTGCTGACTGCCCCCAACTTCTCTTCAATAGCTGGTGTTCAGTCATGCATGCTTCATTTCAGGGCTGCAGCCTAAATTAGTCTCAAGTTAGTTCAGTGTATTTTGGACAAAGTGAATGGGAATTCAGCCCACAGGTAGGGGTGTGTATGTTTGAGGGTAGAATCTGCTTCTTAGATATTTTAATGATTTTTCGAGTCCAGCTGAAAATTGGCTATGTATGTTATATACATCACTGTGACTAGAGGAAGCAAAGGGAATGGAGCACATTACCTCATTTCTTAAAACCTGTGAGATCAAAGCTTATTCTGAAGGATTCTGAAATGCATCTGATTCTTCTGTTGGCCTATGTATTTTCCACTGATGAAAACTTTTTCCTTAACATCTGAAAGCATATAAGATTTGGAAAATAGCTGTATTTCTGCACCAGGACATTACATTCACATTTATTTGGTCTGCAAAAGTCTTGTTTGGAATCAAGCGTACTTTTGCCTAACTTTAATCCCTTTTCTCTGTCTATTCTGTTAAAATTCAGTAGAGTACCTTCAAGCTGGTAAGTCAGACTTAGCTAAGAAAGCCAAGATGTTACTTCTGTCCTTTCTTGACAGTGGACTCCAGGAGCACTCTGCAGCAGGAGGCCTGTGTGATCCAGTGCTGGTTACGTCCAGACTGTCATAAGTACACAGAATGCTTTCTAAATGAGTTCAACGTTGAAACAAATAATGCCAAAGCACTTCAAAGAAAGAGTCCAGGAGTCCCTTTCAAGGAAGGAACACAGCAGTCATCTGCTTGAGGCAGGCAGGAGAGTTGGACCCAGCTACACAATATATAAGTACATTCTAAAAAATACTCTGAAAAACAGGATTATCATTGGGTCTTCCTCAAAGCTGGCATTGGTTTTGCTCCTGATAATAACTAATATAGATGGGTGATGTTTATATTTGTGCATCTCTTGGTTGCTACTCTACACTGACTGCATAGCAGCTGCAGCCATTGAAGTCAACAGGAAAACTAGTAATTTCACGAAAACTTGGATTTCATCTTCAGTTTTCAATGAAATGGAACATGATTGCAGTGGCCATGAGATACTATGGAGCACATGAATGCATGTATATATACAAGGCTATATCCTCTCTGCTTTAATTTGAATACATAAGAATAGCAAGAGGACAATGTAGATATACCTTGCGGTAGTGATGTTCTTGAGGTAATGGAATTATGCCATTAAGTCCCACAGATTTGTTCTCAGTCAAGACAAATGGTGGGATCCTAATAGTCCCCCTGGGCCTCAGTGATGGCTGTGCAAGGTGAAAGCTATGTTCTTCTCATCTCTTCTCAGGGAAGCCTTAACTTGTAGGTGTAAGGTGAGCTGGGACTTCGGACCTCAGCATCTGACTTGGGGCTGCCCAACGTACAACTGGGGAATACAGCAGTCCCGTAGGGTCTCCGTGACTTGTCACAGTAATGACAGCCCACTGTCCTTCCTACTGGGACAAGCAGTCAGCAAAGGAAACATGCACACAGAAAGGCTGGCATGTGTTGAGCCTACTGTGTGTTGAGTTGTGTCACATTCAGTCATTTGACAGGACAGGGTCCAATGTGTGTGTCCTCTACAAGAGTGTATATCACTGCAAGAATAGCTGGGCATTGCCACCTAAGCAGATGGCACTCGCTTTCTCCTCAAACATAAACCTGTTGTAGGCAGTGACCTGTGGTGCAGGCATAGGCCTCTATGAGGAAAGAAGCTCCTAATC